AGTATTGACTTCTGTCATTTCTATCATGTATTTTCCTTTTGTCTAAATATTTTCCAGGTTCCTAGAGTGAACTGAAATTTGGAGTAATTCCTAATTATGAGGATAAAATTAGGAATAGAAAGAAGTAAGGTGTGGTGATAGTAAAATCAAAGAGTTGGGGAAATGCTTCATAGTTCTTAAAGTGCTACAAAGCCTTTCTATGCTATTTGCCTGACTCCTGATTGCCATTTAAATTATTTTCCCATAGGATACCTATGGCTATTAGATTTTTTTTCCTATGGGGAAATATGTTCTGTTTTTAATTTGCTTTTCAGCCAGCTTTGTTAGAACTTCCATGCTCCATAAAATGAGGAGCACCTGATACAGTACTGTCTCTTGGAATAGGAGGGCTCTTATCAGCTCCACATGTTTAAAATATATATAGGGCAAATTGGAGGAGGGGAACTTCCAATCAAAACTTTAGAGAATAATTTAACATTACATGAAAACAAAGTTACTTGGGTTAGCTATGGTAGCAGGACAGACAGCTTTTCCATCAAGTATCATGGGGTTTTCCACGTTTATGTATTTTCCAAGTAGTTAGAAAGGAAGTTGAGCTTTTAGATCTAGTGGTATGAATCCCCTTATTTAAAAAAATGTCAGATATTAAATAATTTTGAAGTGGAATTTTGTTGGTATAATCTGGAGCTGGATTATAAGCCTAGTCATTTTATTGGGATTTAGCAAGGGAGGAAGTTACTCTCAACCCAGGAAAGAGAAATGAGAGAAATTAAAATTTTTTGCCTCAGATTTCTGGATTTGTGTATTTTTTACATTTCATTTAATTTGGAATTCTACTTTTGTTACCATTAGGATATATTTAAGTTACTATCAGAAGAGTTGAAGGGTAATTGCCTCTTGGTGTTAGATAAAGAATACTAAGACAAGTTGTTTCTTCCTGTCTGTATATAAACAGCACGTGATCAGGAAGAGAATATGTTTGATATGCTTGCTTAATATAGAATCTTAGTCCATTTCCTGTATTTTAAAGGAAAAAAAATTACACCCCCCCCCCAAGAAGAGACTTCAGTTCATATTCAAACCCAAGTTGTCTGACCCTTGAATCTATTGCTTTTTCATTTTGCTCAGGGCTATATTTGTCCATGGCAACCAAGTCTGGACTCTTAATTTGTTTTATTTCTATTAGTTTCTCTCCTTTCCAAAATAGTCACCTGTATCAGGCTATTACTTCTATTGTCCCATTTTCAGGATCACTGTCAATTCATATTTTAACCACCACCCTTGTTGTTTTTCTCTTTCCTTGATAGTAATCCAAAACAACTTGCTAAAAACTGATATTTTTCTACTTATTGGATATAACCTTGATACCTGTTCAATTCAGCTAAGACATTTACTAAGCATACATTCTATGCAAAGCAACATACAAGACACTGGTGTTTTAAAGATGCTATATATATATTTTCTAGCTTCAGAGTGCTTATCTAATAGGGTGATAAGAAACACCAGTAATTGTTATAAACTATCCCTTAACACCTGTTTGGGTGAACTAGTTGTGCTTCTGTAATTGTGGCATAAAGGGGCAGGATGTACGGTGGATCAGTTTTTAGACTACCTGTGAATATTAAGTTGACTATAGCTCTGTTAAATGTAAGGTACTTATGCAGAGACCAAATACACATATTATTGGAGGAATTGAACTGTTAATTTTTATATTCTTGCTATAAGTAAAGACAGTGGAGTGGTCAAAAAGTTGAATTGTTGACCTCGCATTAAGACAAGGAAGCATCAATTTGTGGGACATGTTATGTCTTTGCAGGACTTATGTTAGGTGTTTGCAAAAATAACATTATGAGAAGCTTAATGTGTCAACATTTGTTGCAGAAAATTAGAGGAATTAGAGTTAGAGGAATTCTATGAATAACTCGATAAGACCTTTCAAATCACCATTTTAATACTTACTTTAGTGCTAAGATGAGCGAAGAGAAAAATGGGAAAAGTTTGAGAATGTAGTTGAGAAATAAGAAATGAAAGGTGGCAAAGACAGACTGTACAGAAGCCTCACACTTATACTATTAATTTTTAAAGTGTCATGTTACTAGATATGGTGAAGATTGTAACATCATAAAAAATAAAATTGATGGTACTTGATATCTTATTTCCAATACCACTGTGTTTCTACAGTCAAGTTGCTAAGTTGAGATAAAAATTTAAAACATATTAGAATAAATGAGAAAATATGGTATACAATTAAAGCAACTCTAACATATCCAAACTAACTTTTGATGCCCAAAATAGGAAAGGGCTAGAAGAAGAGAATTTGACACAGACTGTAACTATAGTCTAAGAGTTTTAGATGATAATCACTACAGTGAATGGACTAAAAGTCTTTGAACCACTTTAGGCAGGAAGCAATTGATCTTTTTTCCAGGCAGAGAGAATTAGCAGCCAAAGGTAACACTGGTTTGAAATATAAATTTCTTTATAAAATCTTTGGGGAGCATGATGGAAGATAATGAGCAGTATTACTACATAAATCAATAGGAAACAGTGGGAAGAGAAGCAAACTTAGTAAGAACTGACTAAACTAGAGGAACGTGAAACTGGAAAACTAACAGATGAAAAATGGGACAAGGGAGCAGGTAGGTGGTGCCGTGAATAAATCTCTAGCCTTGGTGTCAGGAGGACCTGAGTTCAAATCTCAAATCCAGCCTCAGACACTTAACACTAGCTATGTGGCCCTGAGCAAGTCACTTAACCCCAATCGCCCCACCGGAAAAGAAAAAGGGGGACAAGATCTGTGAAGTTTTTTTTTGTAGTATTGTCTTCATCAGTGACAAATAAAAAACACTAGAATTCTCGTAGTCCCATTATGTATTACATGAAGAAGTAGAAATATAGTACTAAAGAAAACAAAGATGTGATGAGCAGCTGAACTAGACTTGAGGTGACACAATTGTGTGAAATTGTTTCTCAAAGTACTTGTCAAAGGGAGGAGAGGTGGAAAAGTGTCTGCCCCATATAACTACTTCACATTTTTTTCAGAATCGTTGAGAATAATCTACACACACAAAGGGCATCCTTGATAAATGTTTTCAGAGACAACAGACTTTCATAAACAGACATATCTGAAAGATAAAGAGAATTTTAGATCCCACTGATTTTTTTTTAAAGCATTTATTTGGTACAAAATACCACATTTTATAAGATGACTCCAAAAATTCTTAGATGTGAAAATCATTAGATTGCTTGAAAGATATAGGTAGAGATAACATAAAAAAGGGAAAGTTGCTCTCAGTCACATCAAGTGTCCTGGGCAGAGCCCAAATGGGAAGGGAAATCTCTTTACCTTACAGATTTTTCTTTTTGTAGATGGCATTTAATGGCTGCATCAAGATCCAAAACACTGCAGAACCTCCTAAATGAAATCCATACTCAAAAATTTCAGGCTAAGTAGACAACCAGGAAAATCAAGTATATGAAAAATGATATTGTCTAGTTTCTGATATACAGCTGAACATGTAACTCAAGCTCCATCCACTGTGATATACTGATCTGAGCCCAGAATTAAATAGAGTAAGCTAGTTTGCCTTTAGGAAACTAAACAGGGCTTATAATGACCTAAACTTTTCTTTTCTTTCCATTTACAAATAATTCTCAGGTCAGAGTAGGTGTTAATATCTTCCCTGCTGGATTATAAATACCTTGAGTAAGGACAAGGATAATGTCTTGTTATCCATAGTTTGTCTTGATGAAAAGATTCAAAAATACTTACAAAATTTGACTCCCATATAATTTTCTGCTGTTTGGGATGTATGCCTTTTGTTCCAGGCAGGATGGAAAATTGAAGGCAAGGAAAAACATTTTTATAAATAAGAAACTTTGAAAATTGAAATAGATGCAATATTTCAGCACCTTTGGTAGATCTAAAATTGCTTTGTCACTTTAGGAATACAAAATTACTCTCTGTATAACTTAACATAAAAATAGTATCTATTTAGAGCACTGAAGGCTGGAGTGGGGTAAATGGAAAAAAATATTAAGATCTTCCTTCTCCAATTAAAATTATTCTTTTTCCTTCCCTTGGAGGTGGGCATCATATATTCCAGTTATATTATATTCTGTTAGTTCCTAATACTAGCCACAGTCATAATGTTTTTGTGTCCTAAAAATCAATAAACTGTACACTCCTGAAGTCCGTGATACTGCTGCTAGGTCTTTATCTCCAAAGAAATCAAAAAGGAAAAGGACCTACATTCAGTAAAATATTTATAGCAGCTCTTTTTGTGGTGGCAATGAGTCAGCTGCTCATCCAATTGCATAATAGATAAATTATGGCAGATAAATGTGATGGAATACTGTTAAGATGTAAGAAATGATGAAGGGGATTCAGAGAAACCTGGGAAGACTTGTATGAAGTGATCAAAAGTAGAAGTCAGAACAGTTTTATACAATAGCAATATTGTAAAAACAATTTTGAAAGACTTAAACTAAAATCAACTCTGACCAACTGCAATTTGAGAGAACTCATGCTATAAACTCCCTCGTTATAAATGATGGACTTAGTGCGGGTTGTCTTTTTTTTTCTTTTCTCCTTTTGACATGGCCAATGTAGGAATTTGTTTTGTTTGGCTATACCTGTTTTTACAGGTTTGGGTTTTTTTTTCTTTTTTAGTGGAGGATAGGGAAGATAATATAGAAAGGATGTGGACCTGAAAATATATTTTCACATTGAATCAGTTCATTGATTTAATAAAGTCTAAATGAATTTTGGGAACTGCTTGGTTTGGAGGGTTAAATATTTCAGCCCTCATCTTGAAAATATTAACTGCATTTATAAGTTTGTGACATCACTATACTGGCAGTCGTTTTTAGTTATAAGAATGATTAACAGATTTAATGCAGTGGGAAATAATTTTTCTTAAACTTTGGGGATTATGTAGCCATTTTGTTGCAAAGATAAAGTTATTGTAGCTTAATTACTCTAAATTCTCTCTTTCTAGGCAGCCTGCTTCCGCAAAGTGGTACGATCGAAGGGACTATGTCTTTATTGAATTTTGTGTTGAAGACAGTAAAGATGTTAATGTAAATTTTGAAAAGTCCAAACTTACTTTCAGGTAAATTGCTATGCCATATAATGTAGCAAAAATCAGTCCATTTACTGAATTATTTTTGTCTTATCATTTATATTTTTTGTATCTTAAACCTTTTAAAAAATTATTTCATCTATATAAACAGCATTTCATTGTTTCTCTACAGTTGTCTTGGAGGAAGTGATAATTTTAAACATTTAAATGAAATTGACCTATTTCAGTATATTGATCCAAATGTAAGTATTCTAGTAAATACATCCTCTACTCCCTTTTCAAAACAAAATATACATCACTAAGTAGCTGGTAATTTTGCTAGTATTTCCTATTTTTCTGCACTCTTGTAATTTTTTCTCAGTCTCTCTTCTGGCTTCTGCAATTGTAGAAGCTCTCCAGTTGTAGAGTACATTGTATATGTACTCCATTTGACTCTCAAAACCCAGTCTATCACAGGAACATTATAGTTCATTTTTAATTTGAGATTTTCTTTTAAAAGGAAAGTCAGGTACTTCCTGCAGGCATCATCACTCTGTCCATACCTTGTCTATGGAAGGAAAAATGAAATTCAACTTAAAAACACTTTTTATGATTTGATATGAGTGAAACTTTTATAACTCTGGAATATATTCAACTTTCTCTCTGGAGAGAACCTAGGAAAAGAAAAACAAAGTTTGTAGATGGGGAATGTCACACCATACTAAATAGCTTTATTTTATTTTTTTGAAATAGCATTTTGTAATACTTTATTCTTTTTAGACTCATTCCTGCAGACATAAAATAGAGATGGTTCTTTATCTTTTAGGACTCCAAGCATAAAAGAACAGACAGATCGATCTTATGTTGTTTACGGAAAGGAGAATCGGGACAGTCATGGCCAAGGTTAACAAAAGAAAGGGCAAAGGTAGGCTCTTGAATGCTAAGGCATATTTATTAAAATCTGCATTAACATGCTAGCAATATTAATAATTCCTGTTAATGTAATTTTTATGAGCATGTAACATGGCTGTAAATTCACTGTCACATCCAAAAAATATGCATGCTGTAGGAATTCTAATGATGGTACAAATGAATCAGAGGGTATTTGTGTGTTTATTCCACAGCTCAATTGGCTTAGTGTGGACTTCAATAATTGGAAAGATTGGGAAGATGATTCTGATGAAGACATGTCCAATTTTGATCGCTTCTCTGAGGTAGAATTTCCTTTAAATAGACTTGTTTAAGCTTTTAATCTTACGTCTCATGTGTGTCTAGTTTGCTTCAGCGAACTTAATGGAAATCCTTGGATTCATTTAGAGTTCAAACTGCACATTTTCAGAATCAGTCTATAGTAAACAAAACAGCTTTGGAATCCCCATTGTAAAAAGTGAGAACTTAGTGATTATTTAATCTTGTAGAGTATACCAGTTATAACCATTCCCTGAGTTCGAGGAGGTTATATGTCCTGATGGTTAATCTCATTGTTAGAGTTTAGTAATTTAAACTTTGGGGATCAGGAACCCTTTTACAATACATCTCAAAAGAATGTGGGAATTGTGAAAGGAAGGTTGATGACTGCATTTTGATGATATGTTTTTCTCTTGATATTTTTATCTACAAGAGAGGCTAGATGGTGTTAACCAGTATATCTTTCTTTTATTGATAGTCTTTGTATCAAGCATACTTTTCTCAGTAAAGTTTATTAGTTTCACTGTTGCTTTTCTTATAAAAATAATAGGTATTAATAATTTTTAAAAATCATCTGCATTTCCCATTATGCTTCCCTCCCAAGTTAACTTCAGCAAAACTAATAAGATTTAGGGTTTTTTTTTTCTTAATGTAGTCTTCAATTAGAAATAAAGGGGAAATCAAACATAAATCAAAATAGTCTGTGTAAAAATCTTTACTCAGTGAAATTTGAGATTCATTCTTCAAAGATTGGAACAGAAGAAGAAACTGTATTACTGTCAGAGTAAATTGTGAGGCTATAGGGTAGTTAGCTTCAAATGTTGGGAAGAAAGGCTATGAAGGAAATACGGTATACAAGGAAATAATTTTTATGTTGTACCAGAAGGCAATTAGATGTTTAAGAATGAATTCCTTGAAGTAGTGAATTGTCTGTCACTAGCGTTTCTAGCAAAGGTTTGATGACCATTTGTTAAAGATGTGTTATAGAAGGGATCTCTCTTTTAGCTAAGAGATTAGGTTAGACTTCAAAGATTGCTTTCAGTCCTAAATTCTGTAAAATTTAAGGGAAAAAATGTAATGAAACCATGTTTAGGATCATGCTATGTTTGCAAAGCATTAATACAAATATACAGTGTTTGATAACTTGCCAGTGATTTACTAAGGACAAATGTGACAGATGTAAGCTTTCAAAAATTGATATGTTGATAATAAATTTTACTAAAGGATTTTATTTTTATTAGTAAGACTTAAATGTTAATATTCTTCAAACAGATGATGAACAACATGGGAGGTGATGAGGATGTAGATTTACCAGAAGTAGATGGAGCAGATGATGTAAGTCGTTTTTAATTGGCCTTTAATTTAGCCTGGTAACTTCTTCAGTATGTGTTAACAATGATGAACTTGAAGTCAGAAGATTAATTCTGGCTCTACCATTCACCAACTTGATTTGTGTCCATAAGCAAATAACTTAATTTTCCTTATCTATAAAATGGAGAGTAGTTGTAACTATCTACATTGGGAAAAGCTTTTTATAATTTCTAATTTTAATTCAGTTTAACAATTGTGCTAACTCATACATACTGAAGGAGTGCTGAGGAGAAGTGGAACTAGAAAAAGGTCAATCAACCATTAACATTAATGGCAGGCCTGCCAAAGGATTTCAGGTGGCCCTCAGAAAAACATAGAGAATTTAAAACAGGCTTGCAGGCTGGATGTTGTGCAGGTCTGATTTATGGGATGAAAAAATCCCTTTTCATAGAATATAAGAATTATATAATTCCTTAATTTTTGAAGATACAGAAATTGAGGGTGATCTTGCCCACAGTAGTCAAGTAATTTGTCAATGACAAAATAAAGTCTAGGGCTTTTTGGTTTGTAACTCAAGTACTCTCTCTACAACATCAGACTTGCTTTCCTTGAAGGGCAAGGTTCAAGATGGAAGGCACCTCCAGTTACCAAAGTGAAGCCCAGGAAGCATAAGTCATTGGAAAGTGCATGTACTCATGCTAGGATATAGGCAAGAAGGTCACATGTCCCAGTAATAATGATCAACTTTACCATAAGATTTAAAGCATTTGTGTCTAACGTGCTAAGTGCTGATACTTGTGATATCCATGTGTTTTACAGACTGCTAAGAAAAAAGTACACAGGTTCAACAGGAATTTTTTATTGAGGAAAATGATGTTTAGATACATTTTGTAACCTTGTTTTCTTTCATTTTTTAGGATTCACCAGACAGTGATGATGAAAGTAAGCTTTTTAAAATTTGAAATAAGTTATTTATATGTGTTTTAGACACTGATCTTTAAATTCAGATTCTTTCCACTTGAGCAGACTTTCTGCTATTTACTTCTTTCAATTGCCCAGATTCCTTATCACCCCTGAGGTAATTCAGGAAAAAGTCCATTTAATGTTGTTAAGCAGAGCTGGGGAAGGTTTGACCGGTTCTTTCTTGTGTTTACTATGCTTTCCTGAATGTTCATGATGTCTTGAGGCATTAATCTATATTAAATTGTTTAGTGCTTTAGATCAGATTAAATAAACTATTAATAGTGCAGGAGAAAATCTCCTGAATTCTCAGAAGAGAGACAATTATTTGAATCCTTGTGTAATGCCAAATTTAAGTAGCTAAAAGCATAAGTTTGAATGATTCTTGGAGTGATTTGGGGCAGCACAGACAAGTTGGCTAAAAGGTGAGCCAGAGTGGATCTCTTCTTTTCTATGCTTAAGTAAAGTGAATGTTAGAAAGTTCACATTATGCTTTCCACTAACTTTTCTTTCAGAGATGCCAGATCTGGAGTAAAGAAGAAAGTGTTGTCTTCAGGGTTTTGGGAAAGAAAGATAACTTCATTGCAAAATTTTCATAATTGAGATAATTCCTGCGTTGGTAGCTCTAAAGGCAGATACTGTATTTGCCTCCTTTAATCCATTTTCAATCTGTTTGTTTTAAAAAGGCTTCACTAAGGGTTGATGTGTACTATTGTATGGGTCAGTTTTAAGTCAGCTGAGGCAATAACCTTATGCATGAACATTTTTTCAGACTTCCAAGAAGCAATTGAGGTATAAGCAATGGACACAGTCATTGCAGTTTTAAAAAAAAAATGAAAAAGGTTCACTGAGTCTCTTTACTGCTTTATAACACAAATACTGACATGGTAAGAAAACTTAGCTTATTTTAAGTAGTTTAAAATCACTTCCCCCTGATTAAACAGTAGATTAAAGAGAATTTTAAAATGTTCAGATTTTAGTACACAGACTCAAACTGCTAAAGCAAGTTTAATTGGCTGACAACTTAAGCTGACATTGCTGTACCTCCGGAGTGTCTTCAGGATTGTTCCACTAATGTTTTATTTAAAAAAAAATTATTCACTTCACATTGTTGTATTTAAATGATCACTAGTTAGTGTTCCAAATGTATCTTAGCTAAAACTAGTGAAGCCCTAATTTAAATGGTTATGAAGCCTGTACATTTGGTATTGTTTGACCCTTAAGCTTTTACATCTCTTAGTATGGAGGAGGAAGAACAGCTATACATTGTTGCTTGTCAATCTGTACATTTAGACCAAATTTGTATTTGCACTGTCAGTATGGAAAACGAGTGACAAAATGTTTAATACACTATTGGAATTTTTTTTTCCTTTTTTTTTTTTTTTTTTTTTTTGGACTCGGCTTATAACAAGGCTGAAAAAAACTTCAATTTGTGTTCAGAACAGTGGGGATTTTTTTTTTATGTCTGCATTCTTTCTAATAAACAGTTGAAGACTTCTTGGCTGTCCTTTTAAGTGTCTGGTTTACTGTAATTTCATGTATTCTTACTATTTACTGGAATGGAATTTTTATTTTTACTTGAGGAAGAATATAGTAGAACTATTTCCTCTTTAAATGAAGGAGGCTTGTTGTAATGTTCCCAGGAAACCTTTTTAAAAGTGGATCTGTAATAGAACTTGTAGATACACTTTACAACAGTTGAAAAAGAAAGTGTTGTGATTTGACTGAAATAAAACTAAATGTGTTGTCCTCCTCTAAATCTTTGAGCTTCTGCATTTGAGCAGTTTTTGTACCCCTCAGCTTCTGCACCTTTGTCATACCATTGAAATGCATCCTATTTTACCCTTCACTTTGGTGTATATTCAGTGTTTTCAAAAGAGCTCTCTTTGAAAAAATAGAACTAGGAAGGGAAAACTTTGAGGGAAGTCATGGCCTTCCTTTATCTTCATTAGCTCAGTATTACATAAACCTATTTTACAGGGGTTTTTTTGGTTTGTTTTGGGGTTTTTTGTTTTTGTTTGGGGGCAGGGGTCAATATTTGGGAATATGTTCCCTCAGAGCCTCCAGCTGTAGTTAAATGACTGACTGGTCTCTGATTTAGTTACTCTTCTCGGACACGGAATGAACTTCTACCTTCTTTGAAACTGTTTTGCCGATTGACTACCTTCTACTTTCTTTTTTTTTTCTGTTTATTTTGAGTGAGATTTTTATCTTAAAAACTATGTTTCTTAGACTCCTGCAGATCTTAATTTTTGAATATCTAGTCTGGGGAGTTGGAGATTGACAAAGGATTGGATTTTTCTCAAGTATTTTTGATTCCTATTTGGAGGTAACAGTAAAGCTTGGCAGATCTTGTCTATGTATTCACCATCCCCCAATTTCCTCATAAAAGCAAGGTATAATGGAAAGGACTTGAAGTCAGGAGACACCAAGGTTTCAGTCCTGCCTCTGACAATAGCAAGTGTACCTTGACTGAGTGACTTGCACTTTCTGAGGCCATTTCCTCATGTGAAAAATGGAGCAAATAATAGTCTTGATACTACCTCATAGGCTTGTTGTAAGGAAAATGCTTAGCAAACTTAAGGAACTATAGAATGAGTTATTTCATCATTTACTTCCCTGGGCTATAGAGCATTCATTGCAAAATTCAACAACTCTTCATTGCACAGTCTATGATACTGTCTGTTATGTGGTGTCTTATACCTGTATCATGAATTCCCTTTGAGAAAATTTTAGAGTATTGTATTTAAAGGAAGCTGAAAGTGCCTGGCACATAGTAAATGCTTAATAAACATTTGTTGATTTAATAAATGCCTGTTGACTGAAAGGAAAATTCCCAAGCCAGCTCTCACGAGTCAGGTGATTTTAGGTTATTCCAAATGCAATAACTTTGCATCTTGAGATTTTTTTGGGTTACTTTTGGCAATTGCCCTCACCAAATCTACCTTGAAGTTTTAAATTTAATTCCTAGAAAGTTATGCCTATTTTTGTTAGGCAAAACAAGATAGAGAGCATCTCCCTAAAGGAATCTTCCTTTGGGGCTTTTTAGATGAATCTTCTTAAGAATACTGTCCCTTACTTCAAGCTTAGCATATGTATGATGGAGAATGAGGCAGCTACACAGTTCTAGTAGGATTTTTAATAGGATTGCATAGGTGACCTCAGAAGTATCTTTTGATAAAGACTTAGTGTAACAGATTCATAGTTTTCACCATCATAACAGGAATCCCTTAGTTTTCTTTTGTTTACCGTAGAGGCAACAGGTACAGTGAAAAAAGTACTTTGGACTAGGACCCAAGTACAAATCCTACCTGTCACTACCTGTGTGACCCTTGACAAGTCATAATGCCTCTGAACCTCAGTTTCCTTGTCTGTAAAATGAGGGGATTCCACTACATGGTTTCTTCTGGGTCCATTTATATGATCCTATGAGCCTTCACTTGTAAGCAAATGCTCTTTTTTCAACCCTAACCAATTTCCCAGTGAAAGGAAGTTGCATTGGAAGCCTCACTGTCAGTCATACTACCATTGCAGGGGAAAGCTCTAAACATTTTCTATGATAGCAAAATGGTCCCCATCAGTGCTAATCTTTATTTCTCAGTGTCTGCCTCAAAACTAGGCTGACTACTCATTTGATGGGTGAGGTATGTAAAAGGATCCATCCTGTAAGCAAAGAAACTGTTGGACAAAATATTATGGGCTATTTGGTTTTCCTATTTGGTGAGAGCCAAATGAACAGGAAAATTGTATAATACCTTGGCATTCCTTCAAGCTGAGCATGATGGCCAAGCTGTCATGAGTTCTTACTGGGATGATTGAATAATGGCTTTGGGTAAGAGTTCTGGATATGTATGTGATTTTTTTTTTATAGGATGTGTAACCAAATGATACGTAATTGTAGCTTAGTGCACACCTGGCTTATGCATTGACCTCAGCTATTCAGAACACAACTGAACACCATGGAGTAACCAAAGGTTTAAGCAACCAAAAGAGAATGTAGCTCCTCTCAGACCCATCTTACATTGACATACTCACAAGAAAAAAGGAATTACGATTTATGTTGATGAACCTCTTAACATCCTCACCTTAGTTCCTTACCACCTACAGTACCTATCTCCTTGCCCAACTGTTGCCATGCACCTTCATGGCCACACTTCAGATGCCTAAATTCCTAATTGAGAAGCAGTGTAACAGTACTCATTTTAGACAAAAGAGAGAGAGTGCAGGTTAAAAGCACTTCCTTACTCTGAACCTCAGTTTCTGAGGATCAAAATAAAACAATGTATGTAAAACATTTTGTTAACCTTAAAAGACTATATAAATGAATTGTTATTGCAACTGGCCAATCCAGTCATTCTTCATGCAAACACCTGGATTCCTTTAGTCTGATCTCTGCCATGTTTGTAGTCAATGCTGGGTAACCTTTGTATTTTCCTGCCCTTGTATCCAGACTGCTGCCCTGCTAAGAAAATTTACTGTCAGTTTATGGTGTATAACCAGTGAGATTGCTGCTCTTGATGCTCAGCTGCTAATTGACAGTTTTCTTAACCTCTCCCTTCCTCCACTGTTATCTCTGCCCAATTCATTATTCCTCTGTTCAAAATTCTCTATTGGCTCTCTACTGCCTGCTGAATAAAGTTCATACTTCCTGGCATTCGGGTCCTCCCCAGGTTGTCATGTTACATTTTCATCCTTATTTACTAGTCTCTCTCCCATGCGATCTATGTACCCTGACTAGATTGTTTGTCAAGTTTTGTACTTTCCCCCTTTTGCCTTTGTTCTTACTATTTCTGTGACTGGCCTGTCCTCTTCCACTTCAGTTTTTTGAAACCATACTCATATTTAAAGGCCCAGTCCAAATGCTGTTTTTTCCATGAAGCTACCCAATTCCCTTTACTTGAAAATGGGCTTTTTTTTTCTTGCACTTTACAAAGATGGTAGTATTTTTATTAATTCTATTTTGCCTTACACTTATTAGTATATATGTGCCATCCCCCTGCTAGATTATAAGCACTGAGAGCAGAGATGTGTCTCACTTATTTCTGCACCATGGTAGGCTTTTAATAGTGAATTAAATTGAAGTCTTATTGGGATCACATCATGGGACTCAAGAAAAGAAGGTAGTCCTTTTTTGTTTTTTTTCAACTTAAATAAAACAAGCATTCCCATAACTAAGTGGAACAGAAAAAAAGAATTGCACCTGAAAGTGGAGATCTATTATGTACAACTTGCTATTCCTTTTAAATGTACAACAAAATTATGTAACTTTTTCTATCAGTTTTTTCTCTGGATGCAAATAGCATTTTCCTTCATAGGATCTTTGCAGTTAGTTTGGGTATTTATAATAGAATTTCTTGGTTGTTCAAAGTTCTGAAAACAATACTGCTGTTAACTGTATACAGTGTTCTTTTGCTTGCTCAATTATTTTGTGTAAGTCTTTCTGTGTTTTCCTAAAATCAAGTTCATGATTTCTTTAGCAGAATAATGTCTCACCACAAACATACACCACAGTTTAACCATTCCCCAAATGACAGGCATCCCCACAATTTCTAGTTCTTTGCCACCACAGAGAGCTGCTATAAGTATTTTAGAACATATAGGTTCTTTTCCTTTTTCCATAATCTTGGAAAATGGACTTACTAGTGACATTGCTGGGTCAAAGGGTGTAGGCAGTTGGTAAGTCTTTGGGCATAATTCCAGATCACTCTCCAAAGTGGTTGAATCAGCTCACAGATCCACTAACAATGAATTAAGGTCCTAGGTAGTCACATTTCCTAACATCAGTTTTTCTTTTAGGTGGGAAGAAAAATTCTCCGTTTAGTGAATTTCAATAGCCATTTACTTTTTTTCCTCACATTTAGAAATAATCCTTAGGGATTCAGGTCTCCTTAGGTTTTTAACACTTTTAGAAACTTTTGTTGTTGTTATATGTAATCACTACTTTTAAGCAGAAGTCAGTAAAGGCTTGAGTGCTCAAAAGATAGAACCCTGGGGTTAGAATCAGAAAGATCTACCTGAGTTCAAGTTTGACCTCAGATACTTACTAGCTGTATGACTCTGGACAAGTCATTTAACCCTTTTTGCCTCAGTTTCATCATCTATAAAAGGGGGATAGTAACACCTACCTCTCAGGCTTGTGAGCATCAAATGAAATAATACTTACAAAGTGCATAGCACAGTGCCTGGCACATAGTAGGCTCTCTATAAATGTTAGCTATTATTGTTAAGTAGCCCCTTTCTGACATTTGAAGGCCTTTGACCTAGTGCCTTTTAGTAAAGTTCTTAGCTTTTCTTTATGTCATGGTTCTCTTAGGGGTTTTTTGTGTCATAGGCTGGTGAAGCTTATGGGCCCCTTCTCAGAATTGTATTTAAATGCATAAAATGAAATACCTAAAGTTACAAAGGAAACCATTTATATAGAAATACAATCAAGGGGCAGCAAGGTGGTGCAGTGAAGAGAACACCAGCCCTGGATTCAGGAGGACTTGAGTTCAAATTTGCTCTCAGACACATAGTAGCCTTATGACCCTGGGCAAGTCACTTATCTCCAATTCCCTAAAAAAAAAAAAAAAAATAACCAAAATATTTTAGAAAGCAAGTTTGCAGGTGTTCCCCACTCCAGGGTCCTCTGGTGTACTGCAAAGCACACCGGCCTTGGAATTAGAAGATGTAGTCTTAAGTCTTTGAGTTGACACTCTGTCATGTTGGTCATTCTACTAAATCTCTGTAAGCTTCTGTGCCGTGGCCTTAATGTATAGT